CCCACATGGTTCTTAAGTAATTTAAATTTTCTTTCATTTTTCTAAGTTGCTTTGATTCTATAAAGTGTCTCCTGTTCTAAACAGGGACTGTGGGACTTCATCACACAACTTTGTCATAACACCTCAAAGATGATATCCAATCCAGCAGGCCCAATATTCCCTTGTGGGGGTGCTTCCTATGGTATGCTGGAATGGTGGCCACCACTTCCACCATTCCAGGGAAGAAGCCTGTGCTGTTCCCTTGTAATTCCAAAATGGTGTGCAGGCATTCGACAGTGAGGATTTCTCCTCTCAATAGGAAACTGACTCATTTTCCAATGTGAGTATTGCTGGAGGAAAAGACTCCCAGTGTGTTCACTTTATTCTCCTACAGTTGTTCATCTGACAGAATAACTGTAACTCAAAGGATAGAAAGAAGCTGCTTATATGAAGGAGAAATCTCAAGTTCTAGTTACTGAGAAGTTTTTTATTTTTGAGGTTTTGCCTTCTACTGTAGCTTTAACAGCTAAGGGCAATTTGTGTGTGTATAAATTATCCTTTTGCTTGTTGTTTAGCTTCTGATTTCCAGTGATTGAAGTCCATGTTATGTAGCATGATAATCAGAATATGTTGATGCTAGAATTCTATTTTCTGTTACAGAGCAGAGCAGATCATCAGCTCAATACTGTCATCAACATCAAGTAATGCCCCAGACCCATGTTCAAAGGAGGCTGTTCTGAGTGCCCTCAAACAGAAGAAGTAAAGGACACTGGAGGTGGAAGGCCAAATATCTGCTCATGGTCAGGGAAATAAAAGAAGGTAACATGCCCTGCAGAGTACTAAACATGCCTCCCACATGGACAAGTTCTAGTTATTGAACAGTTTTTTTAATTTTCGGGGTTTTGCCTTAGACTGTAGCTTTAACAGCTAAGGGCAATTTGTGTGAATGTATAAATTATCCTTTTGCTTCTTGGTTAGCTTCTGATTTCCATGACTGAAGTCTATGCTATGTAGCATAATAATCAGAATATCTTCATGCTAGAATACTGTTCTCTGTTACAGAGCACAGCAGATCATCAGCTCAACACTGTTCTCACTATCACATAATGCCCCAGACCCATGTGTAAAGGAGGCTTCTCTGAGTGCCCTCAAAGAAGGAAGAAAAGGACAGTGGAGGAGGAGTAAGACCAAATATCTGCTGATGGTCAGAAAAATCAAAGAAGGTAACATGCCTTGTGGAGTATTGAACATACCTCCCACATGGGCCCCTGAGATTTGCTGAAGGAGAGATAACTCCCGAAAAGAATCAGAGACCACCTACTGTTTGTGAACAGTAGGCCCTTTTCTTTGGCTTTTATGGAAGAGCTTGGTGTGCATAGATATTTATAATGGTTATATCTTCTTGTTGTATGCACCCCTTTATCATTATGTAATGTCCTTCTTCGTCTCTTGTGACTTTCTTTGTTTTGAAGTCTATTTTCTCTGATACAAGTACTGCAAAACATGCTTTTTTTCTCCCTACTAGTTGCATGAAATATGTGTTTCTAACCCTTCACTTTTAGTCTGTGTGTGTCTTTGGGTTTGAAGTGAATCTCTTGTAGGTAGTATATAGTTGGGCCTTGTTTCTTTATCCATTCATTGACTCTATGTCTTTTGATTGGTGCATTCAGACCATTTACATTTAGGGTGATTATCAGTAGGTATGTAATTATTGCCATTTCTGGTTTTAGATTCATTGTTACCAAATGTTCAAGGTTATCTTCCTTATAGCTAAGAGTCTTACTTAACTCACTTAGTATGCTACTACAAACACAATCTAAAGGTTCTTTTTTCCCCTTCTTTTCTTTCTCCTCCATTCTTTATATATTAGGTATCATATTCTGTACTCTTTGTCTGTCCATTTTTATTACCTCTGATTACAGCTATTTAACCTTAGGAACACTTCCATCTATGCCAGTCCCTCCAAAATACACTGTAGAGATTGTTTGTGGGAGCTAAATTCTCTCAGCTTTTGCTTATCTGGAAATTGTTTAATCCCTCATTCAAATTTAAGTGATAGTCTTGCTGGATAAAGTATTCTTGGTTTGAGGCCCTTCTGCTTCATTGCATTAAATACATCATGCCACTCCCTTCTGGCTTGTAAGGTTTCTGCTGAGAAGTCTGATGATAGCCTGATGGGTTTTCCTTTGCATATGATCTTATTTCTCTCTGTGGCTACTCTTAATAGTCTGTCCTTATCCTTGATCTTTGCCATTTTAATTATTACATGTCTTGGGGTCATCCTCCTTCAGTCCCTTCTGTTGGGAGATATGTGCACCTCCATGGCCTGAGAGACTATCTCCTTCCCCAGATTGGGGAAGTTTTCAGCAATTACTTCCTCAAAGACATTTTCTATCCCTTTTTCTCTCTCTTCTTCTTCTGGTACTGCTGTAATATGAATATTGTTCTGTTCATATTGGTCACACAGTTCTCTCAATATTCTTTCATTCTTAGAGATCCTTTTTTCTCTCTGTGCCTTAGCTTCTTTGTTTACCTCTTCCCTAGTTTCTGTTTCATTGACTGTCTCCTCCACCATATCTAATCTACTTTTAATACCCTCAATTGTGTTCTTCAATAATTGGACCTCCATCCTAAATTCATTCCTGAGTCCTTGAATATTTTTCTGTACCTCCATGAGCATGTTAATGATTTTTATTTTAAAATCTCTTTCATGAATATTTATTAATTCAGTCTCATTTGGTCCTTTCTCTGGTCTTCAAATTTTGCTTTGAACCGGGTTCCTTTGATGTTTTATATTTGTATTTGCCTCCCTCTGGTGCCCAGTGCTCCACTCTATGGAGCTGGTCAACCCCTGGAGTGATGTTGGGGGTTGTATGGGATTGATGCTGGTGCCTGGGGGGAGGAAAGTTCTCTTTCCTGCTTCCCAGCTTCTATGCCTGTATCAGCTGCCTGAACCAGTTGGCCGAACACACAGATGTAAACCTCTGTGCTTTGTGTTTGTAGCTGCCATAGGCAGTGCTTCCCTCTGGCTGGCCTGACACCAGGGCAGGGGCTGCTGGTTTGTGAACCAGGTGCAGGCTAGCTGGGAGGAAGACACAGCAGGCTGCGTGTCATGGTGGGGGGCCTTGGAGCTGTGTAGCTGGCCAGGGGTATGGAGTTCCTGAAGATCAATTAAGTTCCCAACCTGCTGTATACAGTGCACCTGGACAATTTTGTCTACCTGGCCTTTTTCCTGAGCAGTAAGCTCTGTGAAATCCTTGCCCCTTTAGCCACCCTCTCACTGTTTTGAAATCTCTCAGACTGCCTGCCCAGATCAGCCAGATATGAATTCCTGTTTTCCAGAAGTAGCTGGAAGCTCAGTCTCTCCAGGTATTCCATCTGTCTTAGTTTTCCAGCCCCACTTATCACCAGAGCACCATACGATGTAGGTTCGTGCTCCCAGAGCAGATCTTCAGCTCTAGGTGTTCAGCAATCCCAGGCCTCCACTCCCTCCCCACTCTGTTTTCCTTTCTCCCACTAGTGATCTGGGGTTGGGGAAGGGCTAGGGTCCCACTGTGTCACAGTTTTGGTACATTATGCTGTTCCGTGAGGTCTGCTCTTTTCTCCAGGTGTAATGCAGTCTGGTGTAGCCTTCTTTCCTATTGCTCTTTCAGGATTAGTTCTATTAATTATATTTTCATATTATATGTGGTTTTAGGAGGAGGTCTCTGTCTCCCCTCTCATGCCACCATCTTTAATCCATGGTGAATCCACTTGTATGCCACATTTTGTTTATGTATTCATCCCTTGATGGATACTTGGTTTACTTCCACTTTCAGATATTATAAATAATGCTGCTATGAATATGTGCATACAAGTATCTCTTTTTCCTGTTTTCAATTTATTTTGGTGTATACCCAGAAGTGGAATTGTTGGGTAACATGGTTAATCTATTTTTAATTTTTTGTGGAACTGCTATATTGTTTTTCAAAGAGGCTGCACCATTTTATGTGCCTACTAATACTACCCAAGGGTTCAAATTTCTTGACTTCCTTATTGAAACTTATTTCTATGTTTTTATTGTTATCAGTGGCATTTCCAAGGAATGTGAACTGATATGTCATTGTGGCTTTTATTTATATTTTAATGATGATTAATGTTGAGCATCTATTCATGTGGTTATCAACTATTTTTGTATCTTCTGAGATATCTTATTTGGGTCCTTAACCCTTTTTTTTTATTGTGTTGTTTGCTTTTTTGTGGTTGAGTTTTAGGCATATATTATATATTCCAGGTATTAACCCCTTATCAGTTTATGATTTGCAAATATTTTCTCCCATTCTGTGAGTTTCCTTTTCACTTGGTTGACTGTGTCCTTTGATAGAAGTTTAAAATTTTGAAGTGGACCAATTTATCTTTTTTGTTGTTGACTGTGCTTTAAGTGTTATATTTAATAAATCATTGCCTGTCCATGAAGATTTTTCACTTTCTTTTCTTCTAAAAGCTTTACAATTTTAGGTTGGATATTTAGGACTTTCATGCATTTTGAGTTAGTTTTTGTATATTTTATAACATAGGAGTCCAATTTTGTGTATTTTCATGTGGATGTCTAGTTTTCCGAGAGTCATTTTCTGAAAAGACTATATTTCCCCATTGTTTGACCTTGACATCTCCTTAAAAATAATTTGAGTCCAGATTTAAAGATTTATTTCTATGTCTGCATTCTAGTCCATTGTTCTGTATGGGTGCCTTTATGCCAGTGCTACACTATTGTGTTTTATTCCCCAACTTTTTTGAGACATAATTGACATATGACATTGCTTACATTTAAGACACACAATGTGATGATTTGATACACATATATATTCTGAAAAGATTACCACATAAAGATATATAACATATCCATCATCACATAATTACCACTTTATCTGGGTAGCATATTTAAGATCTACTCTCTCAATTTTAATGACATACTACAGTATTTTTAACTATAGTCATGATGCTGCATATTAGATCAACAGAACTGATGCATTTTATTTTTACAGGGAAAAGCGCAAACATTGTCCCCCACTACCATAAATTATGCAGTCGAGTTTCTCACATTTGGGGAAATCACAGGGTCAGCACATCCAGAGTACAGTGGATAAGACTCACCCTGGGAAAACCACCTTCATCATCATGGTATCTCCCCTGCCAGGTAAGTATCAGAAGTGGTGCATTTTATAATTGGAAGTTTGCTCCCTTTCACCAACATTTCCACATCCCCCCACTCCCAAATGCCTTGTAACCACTCGAGTATCTGCTTTTTTTAGATTCTACATATAAGTAAAATCATGCAGTATTTGTCTTTCTCTAATATCATTTAACACAATGCCCTCAAGCGCCATCCATGTTGTCACAAATGACAAAATTTCCTTCAATTTTATGGCTGAATAATATTATGTGTGTTCACATTTTTTTATTCATTCATCTGTCTGTGGACATTAGGTTGTTTCCATGTCTTGGCTATTGTAAATAATGCTGCAATGAACATGGGGTGTGGATATCTCTTTGAGGTAGTGACTTTTATTCCTTCAGATATATACCCTGAACTGGGATTAATGAATCATATGGTAGTCCTATTTTTAATTTTTTGAGGAAACTGCATACTCCTTTTCATAGTTGCTGTATCAATTTATATTCCCACAAACAGTGCACAAGTATTCCATTTTTTTCATATCCTTGAATGTATGTTTGATATCTCCTGTCTTTTTGGCAATAGCAAGCTAACAGGTATGAGATAACATCTTGTGTTTTTAATTTGCATTTCCCTTGTGATTAGTGATGTTGAGTATCTTTTCATATACCTGTTAGTTATTTGTATGTCTTGTTTGGGAAAGTATTCAGGTTCCTTGTCCATTTTTAAATATGATATGACCATTTTATTATTATTTTGTTATTCAGTTGCATATTTTGAATATTATCCCCTTATTGGACATACGGATTGGAAATATTTTCTCCCATTCTATAGGTTGTCTTTCAGTTTTCTCATTGTTTCTATTGCTGTGCATAAAATGTTTAGTTTGATATAGTCCAACCTGTTTATTTGTACTTTTGTTGCTTGTGTTTTCGATGTCAAATCCAAAATATTGTTGCCAAGAACAATGTCAAGGATATTTCCCCTATGCTTTCTTCTAGAAGTTTTACAGCTGTAGGTCTTAATTTAAGTCTTTAACCCATTTTTAGTTAATTTTTATAAATGGTATAAGATAAAGGTCAAATTTAATTTTTTGGTATGTGAATATTCAATTTTCCCTGCATGATTTATTGAAGTGAGTATTCTTTTCCATTGACTATTCTTGGCTCACTTGTCAAATATTAGTTTCTAATATCTCAGTTTTGTTCCATTGGTTTGCATGTCTGTTTTTTTACCAGTACCATGTACTACTATAGTTTTGTAACATAGTTTGATATCAGGCAGTGTAATGCCTCCAGTTTTGTTTTCCTTTCTCAGAATTACTGTGGCTAATCAGGATTTTAAAAATATGTCTTTTAGGATTGGTTTTATATTTCTGTAAAAAATTCCATTAGAATTTTGATAGAGATTGCATTGAAAGCATAGATGACTTTAGGTAGTATGGACATTTTAACAATGTTAATTCTTCCAATTCATGAACATGGGATATTATATATTTATTTATATCCTCAATTTCTTTCATCAGTGACTTACAGTTTTCAGTGTACAGGCCTTTCACCTCGGTTAAATTTATTCCTTAGCATGCTATTGTTTTTGATGCTATTGTACTTGCTATAGTTTATTTTTCAGATAGATTATTTTTAGTGTATAGAAATGCTACTGATTTATCCATTTATTTATTTTGTATCCTGTGTGTATACTGAATTTGTTGATTATCTCTATGAGGTGTTTTTTTGGTCTTCAGTATTTTCTACATATAAGATCATATTATTTGACAATAAAGATAATTTTACTTCTACCTGTCTAATTTGGAGGCTTTTATATCTTTACCTTGACTGCTTGTTGTGAGTATGACACCCAGTATCATGTTAAATTGGAGTGGTGAGAATGGAAAACCTTGTCTTATTCTTGATATTAGAGGATACATTTTAATTTTTTTTTTAGTTTTCCCTATTGTAAGTTTTATTCGGTATATACATTTTTTCAATAGTAGCTTCCTTTTTATTGAAGTATAATTGATAAACAATCTTATAAAGGTCTCAATAATACAACACAGTGATTCAACACTTGCATACATTATTAAATCCTCTCCTCCTCTAATGTGGTTACTATCTGTCAACATAGAAAGATGTTACAGAATCATTGACAATATTCTACATACTGTATGACTATCCTCATGAACAAATTATATTATGATTGAAAATTTTTGTGCCTCTTTATCCCCCTTACCACCCAAACCCACCCACTGCAACCCCACTCCCATAGTAACCACTATAACTTCTCAGTGTCTATGAGTTTACTGCTGTTTTGTTATTTCTGTTTTGTTTTGTTTTTATATTCCCAAAATAAGTGAAATCACATGGCATTTGTTTTTGTCCACCTGACTTATTTCACTAAGCATAATATCCTTCAGGTCCATCCATTGTTGTTGCAAATGACACAATTTCTCTTTTCTTTATGACTGAATAATATTCCATTATGTATATGTACCACATCTTCTTTATCAATTCCTCTATTGATGAACACTTAGGTTTATTCCATATCTTGGCTATTGTAACTAGTACAGAGATAAACATAAGGGGGGAGGGCATATATCTTTTCAAATCAGGGTTTTTGTTTTCTTCAGATAAATTCCTAGAAGTGGGATTACTGTGGGTCAAATGGTATTTTTAATTTTAATTTTTTAAGGAACTCCCATACTGCTTTCCACTGTGGTTGTACCAATTTAAATTCCCACCAACAGTGTAGGAGTGTTCCCATTTCTCCACATCCTCACCAACACTTGTTATTTCTTGTCTTTTGGGTAGTGGCCATTCTGACTGGTATGGGTAGATATAACATTGTAGTTCTGATTTACCTTACCCTGATTAGCTATGTAGAGCATCTTTTCACTGCCTGTTGGCCTTTTGTATTTCTTTGGAAAAATGTGTGTCCAGGTGTTCCACCTATTTTTTTTTTGGAGTTGACATGTATGAGTTCTTTATACATATTTAGGATGTTAATACCTTATTGGGTAAATTCATATGAATATATCTTCCCATACTTTAGGTTGCCTTTTTGCTCTGCTGATGGTCTGTGTCCTTTGTTGTATAGAAGCTTCTTAATTTGATGTACTCCCACTTGTTCCTTTTTGATATTGTTTCCCTTGACTAAGGAGATGTGTGCAGGAAAAAATTGCTCATACTTATGTTCAAGAAATTTTTGCCTATGTTTTATTCTAAGGCTTTTATTGTGTCATGGTTTATATTCAGGTGTTTGATCAATTTTGAGATTACTTTTGTATATGGAGATAGACAGTAATCCAATTTTATTCTCTAGCATGTAGCTGCCCAGTTCTACAAACATCATTTATTGAAAAGACTGTCTTTTCCCCATTGTATATTCATGGTTCCTTTATCGTATATTAATTGATCATATATGTGTGGCTTTACATCTGAGCTCTCTATTCTGTTCCATTGATCTATGTGTCTGTTCTTGTGCCAGTACCACATTGTTTTGATTACTGTAGGTTTGCAGTATAGCTTGAAGTTGGGGACTGTAATGCCCCCAACTTTGTTCTTTGTCATGATTGCTTTGGCTATTTGGTGTCTTTTCTGATCCCATATGAATTTTAGAACTGTTTGTTCTAGTCCACTGAAAAATGCTGTCAGTATTTTGATAGGGATTGCAGTGACTTTGTAATTGCTTTGGGCTTGGGCAGGATGGATATTCTGACAATATTAATTCTTCCTACCCATGAACATTGGATAGATTTATATTTATTTGTGTCTTTTTAAATTTATTTTATGAGTACCTTATAGATTTCAGAGTGAAGGTCTTTCATCTCCTTGGTTAGGTTTATACCTAGATATTTTATTATTTTTCATGCAACTGTAAATAGATTTGGTTTCTTAATTTCTCTTTCTGCTAGTTCATTGTTAGCATATAGCCACACAACAGATTTCTGTGTGTTGACTTGGTATCCTGCAACTTTTCTGAATCCAGTTATAAGCTCTAATGGTATTTTTGGTGTGGTCATTACGGTTTTCTATGTATAATATCATGTAATCTGCAAATAGTGACAGTTTAATTTCTTCTTTACTGATTTGGATGCCTTTTATCTCTTTATCTTGTCTGATTGATGTGGCGAGGACCTCTAGTACTATGTTGAATAAAAGTGATGAGAGTGGACATCCTTATTTTTTTCTGATCTTAGAGGGAAAGTTTCCATCTTTTTCCATTCAGTATGATGTTAGATCTGGGTTTGTCCTATATGGCCTTTATTATGTTGCACTATGCATCCTCTATACCCATTTTGTTGAGAATTTTTATCATGAATGGATTTTGAATTTTTTCAAATGCTTGTTCAGCATCTACTGAAATGATCATATGGTTTTTATCCTTCTTCTTGTTAATGTATATATGATAGTCATTGATTTATGAATATTATAACATCCTTGCATCCCCAGAATAAATCCCACTTGGTGGTAGTGAATGATCCTTAGATGTTTTTGAATTTGTTTTGCTAATATTTTGTTGAGGATTTGTACATCTATGTTCATCAGAGATATTGGTCTTTAATTTTCTTTCAATTTAATGTCTGCATGGTTTTGCTATTAGTGTGATGCTGGTCTCAAAGAATGAATTTGGAAGCATTCCTCATCTTCTGCTTTTTGCTATTCATTAAGAAACATGAGCTCTTTAAGTGTTTGGTAGAATGCAAGTGTGAAGCCGTCTGTTCCTGGAATTTTGTTTGTTGGAAGTATTTTAATTACAAATTCAATTTCACTGCTGCTAATTGGTCTGCTCAGATTTTCTGTTTATTCCTTGGTCAGTCTTTGGAGTTGTATTTTTTCTAGGAATTTGTCCATTTCTTCTAGGCTGTCCAATTTATTGGCATATAATTTTTCATAGTATTCTATAATAATTCTTTGTAGTTCTGTAGTATATATTGTGACTATTCCATCTGCATTTCTGATTTTATTTATTTGTATACTCTTCTTTTCTTTTCTGAAAACATGTTTTATTAGGGTATTATTGATATACACTC